TAATAATTTTAATGGATCCGAAAATGATTTATCGGATTATTAAGCAATTATATTTGTTGTAAGTTTTATTTTATGTTATTTCTTTTGTATGGTGCTTATCTTTCATTTTCTATATGTATGATCTTTTATGTTTTATATTATATATATTATGTTGTATAAAAGAGTTCATCAGATGGTTATTTATATAATTAAAAATATTCAGTAAATTTAAAAATATATATAGTAAAATAATATCAATATACTTATAATAATATTTTTATTAAAGACGAGGCTATTTATATAATTAAGAAATATTAACAGTAAATTTTCTAATATATAGTAAAATAATATTAATATACTTATCTATATAATATTTTATTAAAAATGAGGCTATTTATATAATTAAGAAATATGACAGTAAATTTTATAATATATATAATACTTATTTATAATAATATTTTATTAAAAATGAAACATATATAAATGTGGAGGACTATTTGATAAATAAAAAAGTTCTACTCCATTTTGGAGTAATGAGTTGGTTTACTCCATATTTGGAGTAATCATGTTTGTTACTCCATTTTGGAGTGAGTTTTGGAGTAGGGTTGGAGATGATTTTACTGCAAAATGGAGTTTGGAGTGGGTTTTGGAGTGGGGTTGGAGATGCTCTAAGTTTTGTTTTTTATTGATCCCACGACGGTGTACTTAAGACGACAAAAATTTAAGAAGACGTCTCGATTGCACCTGTACTTACTAATCTTAGCATTACGTAACCAAACAATCCCCTACAATTCACGGTTCCTACTGGTTACGTCTTCTTTTGTCTCTTAACTTTGTTGTAATACTTAATTAGAATTATTGATTTGTGATCAACTCTTTCTACAATCTCAAATTTAATAACTTAACAGTCATCTAACTATATTAAAAGTTCTAAATAAGCCAAGGGGAAGGTGTCCACATCCTCAAAAATAATCAACCAATAGGGAACTTGTGTTTTGCCATGTCACATCCGATTTGGATGATGTTGGGCTGCTTTTTTGTTTGAATTCTTTTTTGTTCAGTTTGGTTTGTTTGTCTGGCCCATCAAAATGAAATCCCCCCTCTCCCCTCTTTTTCGTTGTTTCCTCTTCTCAACCTCTTCGTCGTCGTTTTCTCTTCTGAACCGACGGCCTTCTGTTATAATACTAGAAGTCCAAGCCTTTTTCTCTCTTCCCCAACATTCACGGCGCCCTCTTCCTCTCCCCCGATGGTTTGGCGATGGGAAATCTCTTTATGGGGTTCGAAGAAGAACGCGACACAGTTCTCTCCGGTTTATTAGACTGATTAGGAGCATCGATGTAGTGATTCCGGTTTCATGGGTTTCGACCTATCCTGGATCCGACCCGATTATCCAATCAACGTTTTTTTCTCAAGATAATGTTAGTTTTAAAACTTGCTTCTGTTGTTTTAGTAGTTATTATAATCGATAGCTTAGATCATGTAGCATCAAGAAACATTTCTTTCTGGCAATTGGTTCTGATTTTGTTAGAACTGTTTATTAAAAAGATATATTACGCGTGTGAACTTTAAATAAAATAATTTATTTGTTAAAGAAACTTATGACTAAGTCCCACCGGTCTTGAATCCTTGAACGACCAATGCTTTTCTTTATCTAGATTTGTGCATTTAATCTTATGTCCTTGCAGATGTTACAGGTGTTGTAATCGAACTAGGAGAGTCTTGTGCTTCTACAAGTTCTGAGCCTTTTGTAATGTTCCACATTACTGGAACTGACACGCTGTTACAAATTTAGGGACTCCTGTTATTTCTTCCCCAGCACTTAAGACGGCCTAACTTCAACCTAATAAGACAGAGACGAAGAGTGTCAAAAAGCCAGAGGAACAAAATACTTCGAGTTTGATGTCTACCTAATCTCCGTTCTTAAATAGGAACGCGACCAGTGGGCTTAACTTAACTTCCAAGTTCCAATCCAAGGAAAGCAGTGGAAATTTCCAAAGCTACCTTTGTCTCTCGGGTATATCCGATTTATATCTGAACATAGTTTCATCAGTGACAAAGCGAATGCTCTTACATTGTTTACTGTGATTGACTAAAGCTGTATTCTTTTAGGTAAATACGCACAAGAAGCTGTCACAGCAGCCATGAACGTTGGGAGACTATTGTTTCAAATCCATACCTCAAGAGTGTGGGAATTGATTGGTGGTATGTGAGAAAAATTATGGATTAAGAGCTGTCTATGGAGGGTAAGTACTGAAAAAACATCTTTCACCAAGACAAAATTGGCTCCATGTATAAATGATATCTCTCTTTTTGGCTTTCAGTTTTGTTACTGCATTGAAGGATCTAAAACTCTGTGTGATTATCTCTCAAACTTATGACCTTCATGCTGATTCATCTATTCTCGGCACTGAAGAAGAGGTATGTGTATATATAAAATACTCTCACATATATGCATCTCTATTGCCTTTTTGATATTGATGAATGCAAAATCTGATGTGTAAACAAACCCAGATGCAGCTTGGTCTCAGTAATGGCTGATGTGGACCGAATGCTTAGAGCACAAGGAACATTTATAGTAAGAGATGACATAGAAACAAAAGGAGAAATTGATAATATGATGGAATCACTAATGGAATGTAAGAATGACACATTCCCAAGATGGAAAAGGAGTGATCTCTGTTCAGGAGTCAAGGTGGTGTCTTACATGGGTTGAGACCATTACATCGGAGATAGCAAGTGAAAGAGAATTGGTTTAATATAGTTTTATGAGTAATGTTTCTTTTGTGATCATGGTGATTATTTACATTGTATTAGGCCAATATGTGTATCTTTTTTTTGCATTGACAAAAATTGTATACAAAGACACTGTCCCAATAGGGTAAGCTTTGATAAACTTTTGATTTGGTCCTAAACATACGTGAATATTTATACTACTGCAGCAAACTTATATATACTGTATATTTGGACTATAGGTACATGATGAGTCCAGGTTACATCACAAAAGAACTGTCAATAGAAAAAAATACAACTAGAGCAAAAGGAATTATTAAACTAAAATAAATTGTAACAAATTTAAAATAAAACATTAGATTCAATAACAAAATATAAGAAAATTGTTACTATAAAAAATAACTTATACAATAAAATCAATGTAAACTCTTATTCCCAAAATTAATCAGTATCTCTTATATCAAAAATTATAATTATTTATCCAGATAAGATGGTTTGTGTGGTATCCAAAGATAATAACATATACAAAATTCAAATAAATATCTTATATCTAAATAGTAACAATTGATGTCAGGTTTTCATGTTACCTACCTTAAAATATATATATTTTGTTATAATAAAATAAGAAAAATTACGTACAAAAGAAAGTATATATTTGACAAAAAAAAGAAAGTATATATCAAACAAACAAAAAAATCTATTGTATATAACTTACAGAAACAATGATAAAATAAATAGTAAAAAGTGTTATAAAAATAGTGAAACAAATGTCAGATATAATTGAAAATATTTTTTTCTTAATTACATCGAAGTGGTTTTAAAGGTAAAATAAATATATTTTTAAGAGTATTGTGAACACAAAATATAAGGTTAGTTTATTTAATTAAATGTGAAATGTTTACAAAATACTTAAACAAAAATCTCGAGCATAATTTAATACAAAAATGAAAATAAGATATATATATACTTGCATGGCCCAACAAAAGACAATGTAAAATAACCTGATAAAAAAATAAGTAACAAAAATAAAATTAGATAACTTATAATAAAACAAACAGATTAAAATATCTATATCAACATAATAAAAATAGACACAGTTGCATTAATAATCTCAACAATCTTATAAGAAAATTTAGTCATCTGATGAAACTGATTTTTTTTGTCTATTACAAAAAACAAATTCAACAAAAAAAATAATTTTTCTTTCAAAAAAAAATTACGAAAGTAATATTCGATATATTAGTTAGAATAAAATCCTTTAAACTCAAAACAAATGATTAATCATAGGATGATATATTCGGTGCCTTGGCAGCCGTACTCTTCGTATACATTTGCGTTTAATGATATATACAAACTTAGACATTCAACACACAATTCATTCCCCTATTTTTCTCACAGTTCATACTACACTATGACTTTCTTGCCTACACTAGCACATTATATGGTTTTCTCTTCATAACAATACAAGAAACATCAATCCGAAAACTAAAACAACACATATATTTATCAATATCCCCGCGCTTGCGCTGAGCTATGCCTCTAATATTTATAATGATTGGATATTAGATCTAAAGAAACCGAATATTATATGACATAAAAGATATTCACAAATACTTGTTTATTATTATTTTAACCAGTTATTTAAATACATAAGTTGGTAACAAAATAAAGACTATTATGCAAGTTGAATCAAAAATCTCAACCCATGAAAGTTTATATACTAGATTATTATTTCCTTTTAAACAAAAAAAAGATTCATTTTCTCAAGTTCAAATGACTATTTTTTCTTAAATGTATAATTATGGTGGTCACAAAAATTTCTATGTCTTTGTTTTAAATTTATATTCTGATATATTCCATGCATAAAATTTGGTTCATATTGCATAGTCTTTGGAAATTTGATAAACAAAAAAATTAAGATGGCAAATTTTTTTAATGGTTAAACAATAAATAACAACTTCAGTTAAATATGTATATGATTTTTGACATAAGTTCATAATAAAAATATGTCTACTAAAATGATTTCGTTGTTTGTTATTAAAAGCGATGCTCTGTGACAAGAAGTGTTTTAAAAATCGGAACCGACTGGTTGGATCATGACTCTCTCTCTTTTAAAATTTTTTGAGTCTTGCTAAAAACCAAAACATTCGGTTTAAGAACTGGTTACTCACTAAAACAAATAGTCCAGTTTGATATTAAATCCTGATTTTTTCAAATTCAAATTAAAAAATGCAAATCTTAAAAAAAAATTCATAAAAACCTTTATTGTTAATAAATATTTTAATAAATTATTTTTCATTATATTTTATATTTTTGAAGTTTTCATTTATTTCCATATCATTTTAGCTTCAAACAATGATAAAAAGTCTTATAAAAAAAATTTATAGTTATACATATATATAGATACTTAATTTAAAATTAAATTAAATTTACAACACAGTTGAACCGGTGTGACCATTAACCTAACTGCAATGTCAAGTTAATGTTCGGTTTGGTATTCAAAACATTGATGGAAAGGATAAATTAATATCATCCAGTTTATAAATAAATTTAATAAATAAACATTATTCATAACAACAAAAATATATACAATCTTAAATTTATATAATATCATTTTAAATTTAAATAATTCATTTTATATACTTAATTTTCAGATTTTGATAGTAATTATTTTATACCAACATTTTTAAGATAGAAAATATAAAACTACAGATTAAAATATCACATTAATTATTATTTATTTATACCAAAAAAAATGAGGGTTCTATTAAAAACTAGAAAATCTATATTTTGTAAAAAAAAGTTTTCATTATTAGTATTACTTATGAAACTCTTAACTGCATTAACTACAATGATTTGGTCGATCATTATCTTTTTCTATTTAATCTAACATTTTATTTCTTTTGTTTTTAATTATAAGTTTAATTATACAATTTATTATATATAAATAATATGATTAGAATTTTTTAGGAGATTAGCCGCGCGTAGCGCGGCCAAAAGATCTAGTACTACTAATTTCGCAAGTTCTACATTTATAAGGCTTCTAAATTGCCACAAAATAGGTAAATAAATAGCGACTGAACAAAGTTATTATTTTTAAAAATAGTGTTATGTGTACGTCAAATTTCACGTTAGCTTCAATTAGGTGAATAGAGAGGAAAAAAATGGTAGCAAGATGACCAGCTAGTCAAAAGCGACCAGAGCCATGATCCATAAATACCAATTATCATTAAATTTTAAAGCACAAACCGTTCATTCGTCTCATAACACAAAGTTTGAATCCCAATTATGTGAACTATTTCTCATTCTGAAACCAAACTACAGTACTTTGAAATTAGTTAAGAAGAAGAGAGACTACTACTAGTTAACCATATTCATTTAGTTTAAGAAGATATCACAACTGATCATTCTTCAATCCTTTACATGTACAATTATATCTATTAAGAAAAGCAAGAACCCCCACACGATTTACCTACACGATATTAACCAACTCCTGCTTAACGTTCCCACCATTTTCTGCTGTTTGACATGTTTTTCTCTATTATTGTATTACCTCAGATGTTTCGATTGTTTGCATCCATCTCCATGGGATACGATCTCAGTTTCACTGAATCTGATGGTACTGTGTGATGCCGCGTTTTGGTGGAAGCTTTCTTAGGATAAATAGGACCAGAGAAGAAGGCAATATCTCCACCAACTGTAATTTAAACCAGATAACACAACTTCTGTTAGATATTTTCAAAAGAAGTTTCATAGTTAGATGGTAAGATCCATTATCCACTGTATATTTACATATCTATGGCAGTCTTAAGAGGTTAATTAGAGAGCTTACCAGGTAATATATGAAATTTAGGATGGGGTGATCCAAGACATCAAGATCTGCTGCATCGTCAAACGCATTAAAGCACATCTACACCATTAATAAAAGATGAAATAGTATCCCTGGTTAGATATAGCTTCAAAATTTGACCACTAGCAACAACGATCAACTGATATCACTACGGTGATGATGTCTATGTGCTTACCATGATACACCTGATGAGGAAACACGTAAAGCATATCGTTGTCACGTAACCGACCTGTCATACACATAACAACATATAAGTAAGTTAAGTTCCAAGAAACGGAAATAGGAGATCTGATATGTCACATTTTTAGTTTGAAATTCAAGTTTCACCTCTTGCAGCTTATTGCGCCTCCCTTTGGATTCTACTGGAAACCGTTGCAGCATTAGGAAAAGCCTGCGAGGAGATTTTTCATACAGCAATAATGATATCAAGCATCACACTCAATTGTGGCAGGTGAAAAGGTGGCAGCAGGTAACAAGAATATAAACGAAGCTACAGTCATGATCAAGCATATGCAAGTGACAAACGACTTATTACCTTCCTCCATATAATAAAAATCCAAGGGCCGCGAACAATGACACACCTGTAATATACATTGACAAGAGGTGAGATGTAGAGTACAGAAACCGAACACAACCAATCTCTGTACAAGGATGAATAACACTTCAAGCTATTACCTGCAAAGAACATCTTGGAAATAATTACCATAACGTGAACAGGCTTCCACCACAACACCAACCAAAGCACAATCTGAAAATCAATGCATTCACATGAAAGATTAAAGCTCAGGCCCATGGTTCTCAAGTATTACAAAGGCCTCACTGAAATTTGGTTTCACCTGAACTACATAGACAACTGCATTAATAGTGAAGAAACTTGGCCTCAATCCATCAGTAGATACAGCACGTGCCTATTAAGACAGAGTAAACATCAACAATGCACCAAAAACACTAACTAAAATATACATACCAAAATCAGGCTCTACCTGGTAGTAAATCTCAGCCCAAAAGAGAACAAGAAGCGCATACGTAGTGAAGAAAGCAAGACTTGGAATGTCAAGCAAAATATGTTGTAGAATCTTACAACAAACAAACACACAAGCAAAATTAAACCATCAATGAAGTTAACCACAATAAAGTAAATAAAGAGACCAAACCTCTGGCTGCATGTTCTGTGCATCTCTCCTGAAGACAAACACTAAAGCTCGAACTACAAACAACAGAACAAAACAAAACAATCAACAAAAAAAGATACATACAACAAGACAACAAAATCAAATTCTCACAACTACAAACCTCCGTTCACAAGGAAATTGAGAAAGTGAAAGACTTTCTGCGTCGTCCATCCGTATTCTGGTACTCTCAACTGTATTCTTACCAATTGAATCTATAAAAAAAAAGATTGAACAATTAATCAAATTAGTTTTTTTTTTAATAATTTTCATCGCAAAAGTTCAATTCATAATCTCTCAAAGATCAAATCAAAGACGGTACCACAGCAATGACGGAAACGACGCCGTATAGAACAGCGAGGATGTGGAAGATACGGTCTTGCCAGAGCGGAGATTCGTTCACGTCCCACCACCAATTCGTAGCCTCCTTAAGGTTAAGCGATGCGGTCGAAGAAGGCGACGATAAAGAGTGCATCAGAAACAAGCCTCCGGTTCTCATCTCATAGGAATCAAATGTATATGGATTCTGTTATTAGGTTTAGGTTTGATCTTTTGTTTCGGTTCGAATTCGAATCACTTCTCCTCTCTCTTTCTCCTTCCTTCTTTTGCTTTTTGCTTTTTTCTTTTTTTTCTTTTTAAAAAGGTTTATATAGTGTTCCAGATGTAAGATTGAGAACGACCGTGACGGGGAGGTGCCGAGAATGACGTGGAAGCAATAGAAGAGCAGATTTGTAAAGTAACTTGAAATAGCCGGTGATTCTTTCCAAGGGAAAAAAGTTGTGGTGACCGACACGCGACGTTGTTATGATTGTTACACGTGTCGCGTACGTGGAAAAGTTAATGCTAGCTGGAATAAAATTTTAACTTTAGATTTTGTGAGTTTTTTTTGATAATTAACCATATCAAAATTAGGAATATTTTGTTATTTTTTCTACGTAAAGTTTTATTCCAATATTTTCTTATAAAATAATTACTTTTACTATAGGTAATACCATTTAGTTCTCTAAGTGTAGAGAAAATATAAATATTAATTTTAGAGAAGAAATACAAATGAGTTTAAATAAATTATATCCTAATGTTAGTATTAAAAAAAATATAAATGGATTGGAAATATTCTGAATGTTCTAGTTTAATTACAAGTTCGTTTTTAAGTTTTGTCAATTTTTAAAAAGAGTTTTAGAATCATTTTTTGTGTGTAATTCGGTGTTTAAAAATATTAAAACCACATAATATACAAAAACACAAATTATTATTATTTTCAATAATGTTCAAATGACAAACAAATCAATGCAGAAATTAGTTACATACAATTACAACAATGAAACAAATCAAATGGGTAAAATGTAAAAGTAAATGACAAGTATCGAAATTTTCTCGGAGAAAAGTAATCATTAATTAACAGCAGTGCAGATCCTCCGGATTTGTCCAGCTGAACCGGTGAGTGTCTGAATATCTCCCATCTTGATCATTGCATCTCCAAAATCAGACGCAAATCTAGAAGGGTTTCTACTATATTCCGACACAATACTGTCCGTAGAAGCCCCGGTTCCGAACAAAACCTGATCACTCGCCAAAAGTCCTTTCTTCTGCATCAAGTTTCTGTAATAGTTGTTGTCGAACGAGTTTGGTGTCACTTGATCTAGAGGTGCTAGATTCGTATCTCCACCGTTGACCGGACAGCGACGCTTACGTGTGCTGGAGAATCCGGCGTCAATGTCACTCGAGTTATCGTACAACCTTTCCTTGAACGTTACGCATTGAGCTTGCCCTAAGGTGTGTGCTCCTGTAAATAGTGTTTGCGTGTGTCAGAAGCAAGCTCGTAAAAGAGGAATATTAACAACAAATAAGCAATAAAGAGTGATATTTTTTATTTGGACTGACCTGAGAGCGCCACGAGGTCTCTAGTGTTGAGACCTTTTCGAAGGAAGAGATCAGAGAGTTCATCCACACTTGCCCTGAAGCTGGGGAGATCTCCACTGTCTGCAATAGCTCTAAACGCAGTGGTGGAATCTCTTCGACCAACCTTCACTGCATATCTTGGACCTCCGACCTATAGATGATACCAAAAGTTTACATACTTGAGAATTAGTTAGAACTACGAGAAATCGAATTTAAATGTGGTGTTTACAACTTTTAGGTTTACATATTTACATAATATTTATTACTATACCATGTAGATATGATTTGATGTAATTATGTGTCTATAAATATTGCTAAGTACTTACGTATTCAGAAGCGTCTCTAGCGGCAACAGCAATGATATCAGCGCAAGAAACAACACCAGGACACACACTCTCAACAGCAGATTTGGCTTGGTCGATAACTTCAAATCCTCTAGCTGATTGAAAGTTTGCCACTGCGTCTCTCTCACTCTCCATGGTAGGAGTTGCCACGAGCATGACCGATGCATCACAACCCTACAAAAAATAAACAAACAAACATAAATTTTAGAGCTGATCTCCTTTAACATAGTGTATACGTACACATGTTAATATACATACATTAACGAAGCAGTCGTGGAAATGGAGACGGATGAGAGAAGCAGCCATTCTACGTTCACGGCTGATGGCGGTTCGGATTGTGGATCGGATGGTTGATAGAGCGTTTGGGCATCTCTGGTCGTAGAAAGTAGGAGAGAGTTGTGCTTGACAGAAACAAAACAAGCTTAGTAGTAACACAATAATCTTGAAGATAGCCATAGTAGTGTTGTTCATAAAACAAATTTCGTAAAGAGCTAATTGATACTAAGTGATTTGATTAACTGAATATATTTGTGTGAGTGATAGAAATGAGACGAAATGGCTTAATATATATACACAAGCGAAATAATCAAGTTGCGGTCCCTTTTAGCTGCGGGAACGCGTGGTAGTACCCTTCTGACCTTTTCAAATTCTTTGCCTTTTATTTTACGTATAGTTTCTATTATTTTGTTTGACAGTGAAACAAACAAAACATGATTTGATTCTTTTCTTAGATTCAACAGTTTGAAATTAGAATTATTTTTATGATTAATACTAAATCTAATAATAAACTTAATTTGATCGATAATGATTTATAACTTACTTTGATTTCAACATACTGAACTTAATAATTTTGTGATTATTAAGATATTTGTGTTTAAGAGAAGCCTCATGTATATTGGGAGTATTCGATTATTATTTCTCTTATATTTCTACTCTTGCATCATTAAGACATTTCAATCAAAAGGAAACTGAATAAAGTATCCGAAATAGGTTTAGATTATGGAGTATATCCTGCGCTGACCACGCATAGAGTTTAATATTTTACATATTAAAATGATTACGCGAAATTTTGAAATTTGACTTTGGGAAAAAAAGGCGAGAGAATCTTTGATAGGTTAGTGTTATGCGGATTTGTCCATACCATAAACCACAAGTGGCGACGAAGTTGCTTCTTAACTTGTTCTTCTTCGCCTTCCTCTTTAAGTAAGACAGTTTGGAGCTTACTAGACGAACATATTTGAATTGACCTTTTCATAAAAACAATCAAAACTGAAACGTTCGAAACAAACCCATCCATTCATATTAAAATATGCACTTTCAGTTGGATACAAATGAGATACAGATTTTATGATGTTTTTGTGCTCGATCTGCGTTGCCTTGTCCATAGACATGTTAGTGATCCAATGGTTATGTTCGTAACCTTCAAACTGTCAATTACGTACCAAGAAATAATTATTTTTTTATCTATATATAAAACACTCATTACCAAAATTGTGTTCCATTGGCAACTAAATTAAACTAATAAGTAATAACTACATCGTAAAAAATTGCGAAATATATATACTAGAAAAGCGAAAGGATACCACGGTACTAACGATTATATATGCACCTAAATTGCTAACAAAATTAATGAATAAAATCTGATCTTAAGCATAAACATGGGTATAGTGATCATGAAATGTTGTATTAAGTTATCGTATTATGGGTGAAGAATTGCAAACTGTAACAGTTAGTTTCAATCCTACAACAAAAGACTCGACTATTGGATGCCATGGTATATAGCTACATTTTCTTTTTAACTAAACATACATGATCATAGCAATAATTTATTTTCAATCTGATCATTCGTCGGTGTTGAGACTTATTTTGTTAGTATGGCTAGGAACTTTATTTCGGTTATTCTAATCAAAACTTTTGATCGATATATATATAATGCCTTTCAAATTTTGACTTTGAATTTTCTGGTAGTCAATTATTCTTTTCAAACTGATCGCACAAATAATTGCAAGAGGTCGTTAGATCAAAGCTTCAACCTATATTATTATAAAAGTAATTAACGAATTGCTACTTAATGATGTTCTTATTTTTTTCATCCTCAGTTTTCTTACTTATGGTATTTTATAATATAAGTTAACAAGTTGACAATTGACCAAAATACAAAGTCAGAACCCAGTTTTGGATTGTGTAGAAACCCCTCCTTAGGGCTTGTGTCATTCAACACCAAATTCCTCAAAAATCATTCTTTGATCGATATTTTCCCTAAAAAGATAATCAGTTTTTACTATCAGAAAAGAAAGGGAACACATTCTTCTGATGAATGTAAAAGATAATCAGTCTTTCGACGACATGTCACTACAAGAACTTAAAAGCAAAAGAAATTGAAAGCCATGATCAAGATGGATGATACTGAAGCTCTAACCGGACTCAGAAGGATATATATATATATATACTTGTGTTAATTAGCACAAATGTATAACATCTCGAATTATGATATATGGAAAAGCTTAAGATAATTGATTTGGTTATCTATTTCATCAAAGTGCACTTATTTTTTGTGAAATTACATCCAAAGAGAACTTTAGAGTTAAACGCGTTTCAGCTGGAATAGTCAATCAGAGGATGAGTGACCTATCGAGAAGTGATTTGCGATACCATATAAGTGAGGTCAAAACACGAGGAAATATCATGTAGTGATTGCAGAGTCAGTAAACATAATTCAATAGCTTTGAAAAATTAACAGATCGACCGTTAGAATGGGATAGGGCTCACGGACCGAATGAACAAGCGTGGGTGGCCTATTAGACGTGGGAGCATTATAAAATGCTTGGAAGTTTGTGTAACATGCATGCAAATGCACTTCATTTTATAAAATAAAAGAAATTATTTTAGTTATTTGTTGATGTATTTGTCTTCTTGTATCAAATTTGATACTTTCGGACATTGAGAGAGATATTCCATTCAAGTAAAAAAAAAAAACAGGGCCTTATTGGTATGGGCCAACTAATGTTATCTGTATGGTCCCATAAAGTGTGTCACGTTGTGGACAACGTCGTTTTCGTTGCACATGGAATATACTTAACCTCGTAAGAAAAAAAAGTATCTCTGTTCCTTGAAGAAGGCAAGCCTATGAGAATGCGCGACCAATAAGTAAACAGAGCAGAGACCCAACTGTGAATCGCAAAATCTCATTCTTTATTTCTCCTCTCAGATATTTACGGCGAGCCTTGAGTCGCTCTTCATCACCCAATAAAATCCCCTGAATCTTCTCCGATAACTACGTCATATATCTTCCGATATTTTTTTTTCTGTTTCTTCTTCGTCAATTTGCGGTTTGGTTTCTTTTTTCTTTGTATCTCCCCGACGA